ACATGGCCCAATTTTAAGCTGTCATGCAATAAAGGTGTTTACTGTGTACGATGACACGGTTTCTGAACTAACGCAAGTAACGTGGCAGTGCCAGGTACTAAAGACTATTTTCCTTTCATTAATGTCTAAGCTTCGGGCAGTTTATAAACATAAAGTTACACGTGAGATAATGTTCATTCTTCTACGTGTTCCCGTGTCTCCACGACACCGCGCGTTTTAGGACACTGAAAAAAGGCTGGACTAGACAAACTCGTGATTGACAGTATGAGCAGCGTATCAGATCTGGTTACGCAGAGACGAAATCAATCAAGTGACTAAGCGTGACCACCCGATCGAAATTTCACCTCTAAGATGTTTCTGGGTCCAGTACGAAGCCTTCGTAACATTACGACCAGTCGTAACTTTATAGTTTATCATAGGCTTAAGAATGTCGTAGCAATACGAACGCTTTGTGGATCGGGACCCTATCCACAAAGCGTTCGTAGCATTACGTCATTCGTAAGCCAATGACGTAGTTTAGAGTTACGATAGATCGTAACGTTACGAAAGCTTTTATTGGATCGGAACCCATGACTCTATTCTAAAATGGAATCCTTCTAATGTCCCCACTATTCCATGCTAGTCGTCACAGGCCAAGAGGATCGGGAGGTAAGCACCAACATACTATTGTCCACACAGATTACTTGAACAGTTTCCCAGCAAGTTATGTTGGTTTCATAAGGCTACTAAGCTGGATCGTGTGTCCAGGCTGCTGATAAGGCTGACTGAGTGAAACCTTATATACTGACGTCTTATTGTGTGGACACCGACAGGTTTGAACAATTACCGATGATTCTGTTGCTTGCCCTACGCGTTGTACGGGTCTGTGACTGGTCTGTTTGTGTATATCCACACCTAACTGATATTACCCGTGATTATCCTATCCTAGCCAACACTCTGTTTTGTCAGACACTGTTATTCACATGTTGTCGTGATACACCTGGAGTATGTAAGTTTAGTTTTACGCCGCTTTCAGCAATATTCCAGCAATATCACGGCGCGGGACACCAGAAATGGTGTACCCATGTGGAGAATCGAACCCCGGGTCGTCGGCGTGACGAGCGAACGTTTCAACCACTAGGCTACCCCACCGCCGAGATAAAGCTGTTATACAACAAGACAGCAACACTAAAACAACTAAACACGACAAAACCTTTTTTATATTCAAAAGAAATCTCCACTTAAAGCAGAGTGCATTGTACAATACCGACAGCATCATGATCAGTTGTTTAGGAATGATTGTGGTGATGTCCAACGCAAACACACAAACACAGCAAAGAAATGTAGCCTGCTGTACGTTAAAATTAAACTGACAAGCAAAAGAATTCTTACCTTAGTTTTAAATCAATCAGGTTGAAACATCACAAAAGAAACTTTCATGAAGTAAAACGCATTGAAAAGAACAAATCTCTGCAAATTTGCACTCTAAATGACAATATATATATATATATATATATATATAGCAACCGACATGACAGCTGCCCAAACGCTGCCTTTAACACTATTCCAAAATTATCACGGCAGAGGACACTAGAAATGGGCTTCGCACATTATACCTATGTGGGTAATCGAACCTGGGTCTTCGGCGTGGCGAGCGAAAGCTTTAAGCACTAGGCTACCCCACCGCCCCCAAGATTCATGACATCCCAGATAGCTTTCACGAAGCTATCGTAGCGCTACGACTGTCGTAAGTCTAAGCTAAAGTATGGGAGTTACGGTCATCTTAGCTCTACGATAGCTTTGTAAAACGGGGCCCAGGGATGTCCTATGGGGGTCATGTCTGGGAAGGTGCTGACACCGACAACACGTTGACGTCGTTGGCTGCAAAATGGTCCTGTTCATTTTGTGATGGGACTTGTTGTGTATTGATGACAAAGGACACCACGTCATCCATCAAACACTGAGCTGTCAAACCATCGCCATCGATGACCAGCGCTATTCTATCCGTTCGCCAAATCCCTCTGACCACCCCCACCACAACACATCACGACACCCTGAACAGAACGACCGCCGTTTCTTCTCCTCCTCGGCGGTAAACAAGTTGTCTTTCATAAGCTTGGAACAGACTGAGCAGGCTCTCCTCCGTGACAGTCACGTCGCTTGCAACGACTTTCAGTCCGGGCCAATCTCAATCTCTGACGACAATGTTGGGCTATCACAAACTGTCCCATGCAAGCCCTAAATCCTCACGACCGCCTCCGTGGTGTAGTGGTTAGAGCGTCCGCCTGGAGAGCGGAAGGTCGCGGGTCATACCAAAAAGACGTTAAAATATGGTACTTGTTGGTCTCTGCCTGGCGCTCGGCATTAATGGGTACAACAAGGACTGGTCGGCTCGGAGTCAGTATAATGTGTCTGAGTGGGGTATTGATGCTTCACTGCGGCATGGTATCTCAGTGGGATAGCACTATAAAACCAGCTTAAGTCTGGGCTAGAACAAGCAGCCGCACATACACATACACACGCATGCACGTCGTCATATGAGCGAAATATTCTCATGCACGACGTAAAACCCAATTTCACCTCACCTCACCTAAATCCTCACTATCAGGAATCGATTCGTAAGATGCAAAGGAGCAAGTATCGGTCATTATTGGGCGTACTTCCTGGGACTGCCTGTTTTTGGCCTGTATGAAGTGCGTCCGGTATGCCTGTGATGTGACATCAGTTTAATTACAGCAGGAGGGACCAAACGTTCCAGCAACGTGGGCATTGGTGGCTGCCATCTTTGTCATACACAGGGCCAGCTTGCGTTGTTCAGATGTTAGTCGTAGCATTTCACTTAGGGCATCATTTTTTTATGTGTTTCACGTAGCCACCAAATTCTGAACATGGGTCGGTCGGGGAAAAAACAAAAAACAAAAAAACTTAATAAAGACAAAATTATCTGAATAACATTATTGATTCTCATCCATTGTAAATCTTATTACAATTTCTCATGTGGCAGCGAAGATAAACATTTTATATGAAGAGGTGGTACGTTTTTGGTTCGAGTCAGCGGTGTTGAAAAAAAGAAGAAGTTGGTGTTGTTTTTTTGTGCCTTTTGATTTTTTGTTTTTTTGTTTTTTAGTTGCTGTTTATTTGGGGTTTTGTTTGTTTTTCTAACCAGTGTGAGTGAGTAATATGCCGTCAGTATAATCTATATACCCCAACTGTACGTGTAGATTGGGATGCCAAATCAGCCCGTTATTTTCACATTTTTGCATTTTATACAAAAGAAAAAACGTCCCGTATCGATATCTGCATAAAGCAATTTTATATTTGAACATATGTGTTTTTAAATTTTGCAATTCCATTTGTAAAAATTAATTGTAAAGTTTCTTTTGGCCGTCAGTTTATGATGAAACCCAGATTGTAGGACTTATCTAAAGTACAGGATACATGCCATAAAAGCCTACATATTATACAACACGCATATCATTGACTTAACACATGGCATGAAAAGTGAGATGTCAGGTGAACATGAAACTCATCATGGTACCGACTTCACCTGTCTCCGGGAGACACAGGGACAAGAAGACAGTGTGTTGTAAAGAGCAGGGACGACGCCACCAGGAGCAAGTCTACTGTCAGATGGGTATGTTGCTGTAGTATCGAGATACAATGAGGGAGCGGTATGTTTCAATGTTGCTTAAGTCTGTTTCGTTGCGTGTGCCTTGTACGTGAACATCACGTTTGGTTGTTTGTTTTAACACATATGACGTCAGAATGTAAATTATCTCAGGTGTTAACGTTGCAAACCAGATTCTTTGACACATACTCTACCACATCCCCAAACCTCAGCAGATGCTACGTGAAGTCTTCTCGTATTACAATATCGCTTGCTGGACATCATGTTTAACACAGCTGGACATGAATATCAGCCTGCCATAATGTGTCTATCATACAAATATATATCATGTTTAACACAGCTGGACATGAATGTCAGCCTGCCGTAATGTGTCTATCATACAAATATATATCATGTTTAACACAGCTGGACATGAATGTCAGCCTGCCGTAATGTGTCTATCATACAAATATATATCATGTTTAACACAGCTGGACATGAATGTCAGCCTGCCGTAATGTGTCTATCATACAAATATATAATCAAGAGGCCATAGTTGGTCAGGCTTTATTTGTGTGTCTTAGTACCACTTGGACGTTGTCCATCATATCAACCGCTATATTGCCGTAATATACACTAAACTACTGTTGTCGTAGTGATTTGAAACTGTGATCGTTTGTTAAACAACTTTTATCCTAAGTTGAATAAAATTCTGAGATTTAAAGGGTCAGTTGGCAAGGTAAAATTATGATGGTTTGGCAATCTTAATTTCATCTTATTCGATTTACTTTTTTGTTTAAATTGACATTCATCGGTACGTTTTCAATGCAAACAAACTATAGAGGTAGGTATATGGCGGCTGTCTGTAAATAATCGTGTCTGGGCCTGACAATCAAGTGATCAACAACATGAGCATCGATATACGCAATTGGGATACGATGACATGTGTCACCCGAACCTGTGCTGTAAATTGGAGACCAGAACTTTGTACTACCTATTCCGTATTTACATTCTGAAGGAGCAATAAACTTGCTGAAATGACACAAGTTGTTGCGTAATCCACATTGTAGTCAGGTAACAATGAATAATTTCGTTAAAATATGGCTTAAGTTGATTACATGATTTCTTATTACTTATATCCAAATATGACATTTTTCTTATTTCCAAATGTTCTTTTGTTTACAACCCATTAAACGGTGTTACGGGGGTTAAATAAATGTTTATGTATTCAGTAAATAAACACTACACCTCGACGAGCCCCCCTTGTATACAATAGACCAAGGTAAATGTGTACTTCCAGGGCGGGTATACAAAAGGTGTAACTGGGGTAGGTCCAAGGCCGGATATTCACCCAAGCATAGAATATAACCTTACGTCGTGTAGGCATGATGCGTTGTTAGATCTTCCGCTCTGATTCCCAAGGTATTTGTGGTATAGCCACCCCAGATCTCTCACTTCAACATTCAACGTCACACACCGGGCCTCAACATGACGCTTTTAAGGTAAGAGTACTTGTGTGAATCCGACTTGCAAATTTTCAAGCCATGACATAAATTCACATTGTCATTGATTATGACTGGAATAGTGTTACTTATTTGTTCATGCTGTTTCCCTGTTTGAATATTTGTACTTTAAAACTGAGATACAATACTCTCTTGATCACAGGCGTTCCTATCGTTGTTAATTTCCTATCATGGCATTTTTCGCACCTGCCTGTAACTGTAAAAGGTAACGATTATCTAAAGGGGGGTGGGATGGGTGCGTTTGGGTGTTTGGTAGGGTAGCTTAATGGCTTACGCGTTCAGTGATCACGTCAGAGGCCCGGGTTCGCTTTCACCGTGGGTACAATGTGTAAAACACATACCTTGTGTCCTTTGCCATGACAGTGCTCGAATATTGCTGACAGCGGCTTAAAACTATACTCAATCACCCCTCTGTGGTAATATCACAACCGTATGCGGTTCTGCAACAATATCGGCGCTAACATTTATGTAAATGTTTGCTTTATGCAATGTCCTCCTTTCTTACAAATAACTTATAAAGTTACGTTGGTTTATGTAATGTCTTCCTTTCCTACAAATAACTCATAATGTTATGTTGCTTTAATGTAATGTTATCCCATTCCTACAAATAGCTCATAATGTTATGTTGCTTAATGTAATGTTATCCCAGTCCTACAAATAGCTCATAATGTTATGTTGCTTAATGTAATGTTATCCCATGCCTACAAATAGCTCATAATGTTATGTTGCTTAATGTAATGTTATCCCATTCCTACAAATAGCTCATAAAGTTACGTTGCTTTATGTAATGTTATCCCATTCCTACAAATAGCTCATAATGTTACGTTGCTTAATGTAATGTTATCCCATTCCTACAAATAGCTCATAATGTTATGTTGCTTTATGTAATGTTATCCCATTCCTACAAATAACTTATAAAGTTACGTTGCTTTATGTAATGTCTTCCTTTCTTGCAAATAACATATAAAGTTACGTTGCTTCATGTAATGTTATCCCATTCTTACAAATAAGCTATAATGTTATATTGTTACGTTTATCCCATTATGTAATGTATATCCCATTTATGTAATGTCTTCCTTTCTTGCAAATAAATGAAGCTGCTGTTTTATGTAATGTTATTCCATTCTTACAAATAACATATTATATTATGCAATGTCTTCCTTTCTTAGAAATAATGTTACGTTGCTTTATGTAATGTTATCCCATTCCTACAAATAACTTATGAAGTTACGTTGCTTTATGTAATGTTATCCCATTCTTTGCAAATAACATATAAAGTTACGTTGCTTTATGTAATGTTATCCCATTCCTACAAATAGCTCATAATGTTATGTTGCTTAATGTAATGTTATCCCATTCCTACAAATAACTTATAAAGTTACGTTGCTTTATGTAATGTTATCCCATTCTTACAAATAACATATAAAGTTACGTTGCTTTATGTAATGTTATCCCATTCTTACAAATAACTTATAAAGTTACGTTGCTTTATGTAATGTCTCCCTTTCTTACAAATAACAAATAAAGTTACGTTGCTTTATGTAATGTTATCCCATTCTTACAGATAGCATATAAAGTTACGTTGCTTTATGTAATGTTATCCCATTCATACCAATAGCTCATAATGTTGTATTGCTTAATGTAATGTTATCCCATTCCTACAATTAACATATAAAGTTACGTTGCTTTATGTAATGTTATCCCATTCTTACAAATAATTTATAAACTTACGTTGCTTTGTGTAATAAATGTTGCTTTATGTTGCTTTATGCAATGTCTCCCCTTCTTACAAATAACACATAATAAGTTACGTTGCTTTATGTAATGTTATCCCATTCTTACAAATAACATATAAAGTTACGTTGCTTTATGTAATGTTATCCCATTCTTACAAATAGCATATAAAGTTACGTTGCTTAATGTAATGTTATCCCATTCATACAAATGGCTCATAATGTTATATTGCTTAATGTAATGTTATCCCATTCCTACAAATAACATATAAAGTTACGTTGCTTTATGTAATGTTATCCCATTCCTACAAATGGCTCATAATGTTATACTGCTTAATGTAATGTTATCCCATTCCTACAAATGACTTATGTTATGTTGCTTTATGTAATGTTATCCCATTCTTACAAATAGCTCATATAATGTTATCCCCATTCTTACAAAAAGCATATAAAGTTACGTTGCTTTATGTAATGTTATCCCATTCCTATGAATAGCTCATAATGTTATGTTGCTTAATGTAATGTCTCCCATTCCTACAAATTGCTCATACTGTTATATTGCTTAATGTAATGTTATCCCAGTCCTACAAATAACTTATAAAGTTACGTTGCTTAATGTAATGTTATCCCATTCCTACAAATAGCTCATAATGCTATGTTGCTTAATGTAATGTTATCCCATTCCTACAAATAGCTCATAATGTTACGTTGCTTAATGTAAAGTTATCCCATTCCTACAAATAACTTATAAAGTTACGTTGCTTTATGTAACGTTACCCCATTCTTACAATATATTTTAGAGCGTTATGTTACATTTCATAATGCCATTCCTTTCTTACAAATAATTTAGAATGTTATGTTGCTTTATATAATAACATTCCTTTCTTATAAATAACGTCGGTGTCCTTACTTGTTGGTTTCAAATTAATTCATGGCGCTAAAAGGATTATAAGTCGAACTGATAAACATTCATTTTTTCTTCGATTCTGGAACTGTCATTTTAATGCACTATATTGGATTGTATTTATATATAGTTGTTTATGCTGCACATATCTAAACGTCACTTATCCGAACTTTATCTATTTGGGGCATCTCTTGCTTTGAGTTAACAGGCAATGCATCTGGCTCACTAGTTACACCTATTTTTTTAGGGTTGTTTTGCGCTTATTCAGTGTAGTTCTGTAACGCACAATGTGATTGATATATTATCGGGGTCTCCTCGTTTTGCCACCACCCTATTGTTAAGGGTGGGGAAGCAGTCATGCGTGTTGATTGGAAGAACAATCGGAGGTGGCAGGGGTCATCTCAAGTATTTAATGCATTTACACAAATTTACATGAAATTTTAATACAGTACAAAATAAGAAATATAAGAATATTAAAATATATATTACACAGGTTACACACTTTCACAATTATAAACAATTAAAATCCAATGAGGTGAGATACTTTGCACAATATTTACATATTGGATTTGCAAATCTGGACTGCAGTCCAAAACGCTGGGCACTTCGCCATATGGCTTGTCTGTGGTGAAACATACAACCCCTGAGTTAACACTGAAACACTTCAACCGCAGCTTGTTGTGCAGCAACCTCAAAGTCGGAGGCGATGTAGTCAGTTCTCAGGCGATGGTTGAGTTCTGAAGACTTGAGTTGCAGGGTCTGGAACTCTGGCCCACAAAAGCCTGTATGGAGTATAGCTGCTGAAAGAGTTTAGGACAGATGTTAAAAATCCTAGTTTACAGATGGGTCCAGGGATGGTGGCGCGGTTGCTTGTGCCACTGTCATTGGGTCCAGAACAATATCTTCTCGATTACCAAATAACAGTTCTATTTTCACAGCAGAAGCTAATGCCATATTTAACAGCTCTTAAATATATATAAAATACATCTTAAATATAAACAATATATAATATTTTCATACTCTTTCGTGCATTTAGGCTATCAAAAATCTTTCTTGCAAACATCCACTTTAATCGAAATCATTGAATTATATAATGATCTTGCTACTGGCCAATGCGACATCGTCCTCTGTTGGTTACCCAGCCACGTTGGCATTTCTGGGAACACAATGGCCGATCTTGCTGCCAAGGCAGCACTCAACAAATCTGTGACAACACTTCTTATTCCATACTCTGATTACAAAGTTAGCATTAGAACCTACATCCGTGATCTGATGCAGAAGAATTCGGAAGATATACTCATGTATACCTATTGAAAGGTGAGGATCCTCCGTTTTGTATCCCTTGTGATGAGAGAACCACGGTCAGGCATGTCCTGCTTGACTATGTTGAATTCTCCATCATAAGGGATATATATTTCGATATCAAAACTGTAAAGCACCTTTTTAATAATGTTAATTATCATTTAATCATTGATTTTTTAAAAGAGATAGATTTGTTAAATGAATTTTGATAGATGTTTTGTAAATAGAGAAAGTTTTATAATTGGTAGTTCAGATTATCAACTTAGATTGTTTGTGGCTGTATCCTCAAAGGGGGTTGAAGTAGTGTAAAATTATTGTCTTCCTGGGAGGATACGATACGTAAGTCCCAAAAACTTTCAAAGTATATTCAAACCTTTTTAAACGTAGTATTTTTGTGATTTTAATTTTGGCTATTTTTTCCTACAATCGCCAAGGGCTGAAGTGTAAATCCAACTAGGGTCTATGCAGGTAGCAAAGGTACTGTAAGACCCCATGGTCCCTAGTATGGTGATCTACCTTCAGTTGTTGCACTGGAAAAAAAATCCACCTTTACAAGCTTGGAAATGTCTTGTAAAGATGATGTTTCCAAGACATTTCCAATTTTGGAAAGATGATGTTTCCAAGACATTTCCAATTTTGGAAAGATGATGTTTCCAAAAATTTCCAATTTTGGAAATATGAGATTTCCAATTTTGGAAACATCCGCAAGGGGAGATAACTGGTGGGGTGATGGTAAATGATTGTTCTGCATGGGTTAATTGCTATAGTGGCATGGGGGCGGCATGAGTGTTTCATGGGGGCGACTGGCGGTAGTCTTTGATGTTTGGTGTTTTTCTAGTAATGATTGTTTAAGGGATTAACGAAAGGATTATCGACTTGACTGGTCAAAATTGCAGTGGTGAACACATTTTAAATGTTCAATGTTTTGGGTGAAAAGTGAATTTTGTCACGTTTAGTTTAAGTGTGTGTCATCGTAAGCTTATATCTAGTGAGTGAGAGTTAATTTCGTACAAGGGCCACCGACCCGTTATATAATTATA